AAAAAGACACCCAGAGGAAAGCAGTACATACTGACTTTCATGGATTTTGCCACCTGATGGCCGGAAGCAGTAGCTCTAAGCAACACCAGGGCTAAAAGTGTGTGCCAGGCACTAGCAGACATTTTTGCCAGGGTAGGTTGGCCCTCCGACATCCTCACCGATGCAGGGACTAATTTCCTGGCAGGAACTATGAAAAACCTTTGGGAAGCTCATGGGGTAAATCACTTGGTTGCCACTCCTTACCATCATCAAACAAATGGCATGGTGGAGAAGTTTAACGGAACTTTGGGGGCCATGATACATAAATTTGTAAATGAGCACTCCAATGATTGGGACCTAGTGTTGCAGCAGTTGCTCTTTGCCTACAGAGCTGTACCACATCCCAGTTTAGGGTTTTCCCCATTTGAACTTGTATATGGCCGTGAGGTTAAGGGGCCATTGCAGTTGGTGAAGCAGCAATGGGAGGGATTTACACCGTCTCCAGGAACTAACATTCTGGACTTCGTAACCAACCTACAAAACACCCTCCGAACCTCTTTAGCCCTTGCTAGAGAAAACTTACAGGATGCTCAAAAAGAGCAAAAAGCCTGGTATGATAAGCATGCCAGAGAGCGTTCCTTCAAAGTAGGAGACCAGGTCATGGTCTTAAAGGCGCTCCAGGCCCATAAAATGGAAGCATCGTGGGAAGGGCCATTCACGGTCCAGGAGCGCCTGGGAGCTGTTAATTATCTCATAGCATTCCCCACCTCCAACCGAAAGCCTAAGGTGTACCATATTAATTCTCTAAAGCCCTTTTATTCCAGAGAATTAAAGGTTTGTCAGTTTACAGCCCAGGGAGGAGACGACGCTGAGTGGCCTGAAGGTGTTTACTACGAAGGGAAATGTGCTGGTGGTGTGGAAGAGGTGAACCTCTCCATGACCCTTGGGCGTATGCAGCGACAGCAGATCCAGGAGCTGTGCACTAGCTACGCGCCAACGTTCTCAGCCACCCCAGGACTGACTGAACGGGCATACCACTCCATTGACACAGGTAATGCTCACCCAATTAGGGTCCAACCTTACCGGGTGTCTCCTCAAGCTAAAACTGCTATAGAACGGGAGATCCAGGATATGTTACAGATGGGTGTAATCCGCCCCTCTGAAAGTGCATGGGCATCTCCAGTGGTTCTAGTTCCCAAACCAGATGGGGAAATACGTTTTTGCGTGGACTACCGTAAGCTAAATGCTGTAACTCGCCCAGACAACTATCCAATGCCACACACAGATGAACTATTAGAGAAACTGGGACGGGCCCAGTTCATCTCTACCTTGGACTTAACCAAGGGGTACTGGCAGGTACCGCTAGATGAATCTGCCAAGGAAAGGTCAGCCTTCATCACACATCTCGGGCTGTATGAATTTAATGTACTCCCTTTCGGGCTGCGAAATGCACCCGCCACTTTCCAAAGACTTGTAGATGGGCTCCTAGCGGGATTAGGAGAATATGCAGTCGCCTACCTTGACGATGTGGCCATATTTTTGGATTCCTGGGCAGACCACCTGGAACATCTACAAAAAGTCCTTGAGCGCATAAGGGAGGCAGGACTAACTGTTAAGGCTAAGAAGTGTCAAATAGGCCTAAACAGAGTGACTTACCTTGGACACCAGGTGGGTCAAGGAACTATCAGCCCCCTACAGGCCAAAGTGGATGCTATCCAAAAGTGGCCTGTCCCAAAGTCAAAGAAACAGGTTCAATCCTTCTTAGGCTTGGCCGGTTATTACAGACGATTTGTACCGCACTACAGCCAAATCGCTGCCCCACTAACAGACCTAACCAAAAAGAAACAGCCAAATGCTGTTCAGTGGACCGAAAAGTGTCAGAAGGCCTTTAACAAGCTTAAAGCGACACTCATGTCTGACCCTGTACTAAGGGCCCCAGACTTTGACAAACCGTTCCTAGTAACCACGGATGCGTCCGAACGTGGTGTGGGAGCAGTTTTAATGCAGAAAGGACCTGATCAAGAATTCCACCCTGTAGTGTTTCTCAGCAAAAAACTGTCTGAGAGGGAAAGCAACTGGTCAGTCACTGAAAAAGAATGTTACGCCATTGTCTACGCTCTGGAAAAGCTACGCCCATATAGCCATAAGCCCTGGCTGGGATATTTAACTGGGATTGTCCTGCTTTGAGGGGGTTGATGACCTTCTGGGGTCCCTTCCAACCCTTATATTCTATATTCTATGATTCTATATGTTTGGGGACGGGCGTTTCCACCTGCAAACCGACCATGCTGCACTGAAGTGGCTTCACACCGTCAAGGAAACTAACAAAAAACTTCTTCGGTGGAGTTTAGCTCTCCAAGATTTTGATTTCGACATCCAACACATCTCAGGAGCTTCTAACAAAGTGGCTGATGCACTCTCCCGTGAAAGTTTCCCAGAATCAACTGGTTAAAATCGTCCTTGAGATGTGGAAAATATTGTTAGTCTTTATGTACTTGGTAGTATATTTAGAGATGCATGTGTCTTATTAACTCTGTTTTTCCTAGAGCTCCAGGAAGAAATCCCAGCCAGTGTTCCACCCTAGCTGAGATTTGGGGGGCGTGTCATAAATATAAAGGGAAGGGTAAACCCCTTTGAAATCCCTCCTGGCCAGGGGAAAGCTCCTCTCACCTGTAAAGGGTTAAGAAGCTAAAGGTAACCTCGCTGGCACCTGACCAAAATGACCAATGAGGAGACAAGATACTTTCAAAAGCTGGGAGGAGGGAGAGAAACAAAGGGTCTGTGTCTGTCTGTATGCTGCTTCTTGCCAGGGACAGAACAGGAATGGAGTCTTAGAACTTTTAGTAAATAATCTAGCTAGGTATGTGTTAGATTATGATTTCTTTAAATGGCTGAGAAAAGCATTGTGCTGAATAGAATAACTATTTCTGTCTGTGTATCTTTTTTGTAACTTAAGGTTTTGCCTAGAGGGGTTCTCTATGTTTTGGAATCTAATTACCCTGTAAAATATCTACCATCCTGATTTTACAGGGGGGATTTCTTTATTTCTATTTACTTCTATTTTTTATTAAAAGTCTTCTTGTAAAAAACTGAATGCTTTTTCATTGTTCTCAGATCCAAGGGTTTGGGTCTGTGGTCACCTATGCAAATTGGTGAGGCTTTTTATCCAACATTTCCCAGGAAAGGGGGGGTGCAAGTGTTGGGAGGATTGTTCATTGCCCTTAAGATCCAAGGGTCTGGGTCTGTAGTCACCTAGGCAAATTGGTGAGGCTTTTTACCAAACCTTGTCCAGGAAGTGGGGTGCAAGGTTTTGGGAAGTATTTTGGGGGGAAGGACGCGTCCAAACAGCTCTTCCCCAGTAACCAGTATTAGTTTGGTGGTGGTAGCGGCCATTCCAAGGATAACGGGTGTAATATTTTGTACCTTGGGGAAGTTTTGACCTAAGCTGGTAAAGATAAGCTTAGGAGGTTTTTCATGCAGGTCCCCACATCTGTACCCTAGAGTTCAGAGTGGGGGAGGAACCTTGACAGGTTTGTTTTTTTTTGTAGGAGTGGTGGGTGAAATTCTGTGGCCTGCGTTCTGCAGGAGGTCAGACTAGATGATCATAATGGTCCCTTCTGACCTAAATATCTATGTATCTATGTATCAAAAACTTGGTAAAATGGAAGTAATAAATAAAATGTTGAGTCCTTTCTGAGATACTTCATAGATACTGCTCCAGCTACAAAACAAATATTTATCTGCTGGTGTCAATAAATATTTATTAATTCATGCTCAACTGTATTTTTTTCAGAAAAACAGTGAGCATTTTCCCCACTCTGTCTTGTGGGAAAACTGCCTTAAATCCAAACTACTACAAAGAATTAAAAAGTAAATCCCTGCTTTTCTCCCAAAAATCTATTCCCCACCCCCCACAAATTACAAAATTCACCTATCACAACTCCAACATCTTATTATCACAAATAATGGTCATCTAAATTAATATGTTGTCAATTAATGAATGCCCCCCTCAACAACAAAAAAAAAAAAACAACTGCAGGAAAGAACTATCACTCAGCCATCTCTTCCCACTCCTTAAGGCAAAAGCTGAGTAAACAGATGTGCCTTACAACTTGCTCTAATACATCATCCCTACTGGACGGCTTCTAATGCTGGCAGATTCGTCCAAAGTGGCTGAAGCTGGCAGATTCGTCCAATGTGGCTAGATAAAAAAAAATAAAAATCTACCAACATTTTTCCTTTGTGATCAGGTGAAAAAAATTGTGTTTGTTCCCCAATATCTACATCTGGGATCTGGTGGACTTCCTCCTCAGCTACCTTTCTGAACCCCGGATGGTACCCAGTGACTTGAAACAGAAAAGGGAGGATGCAGTCACTGCACCAGCTAAGGAGGAGGGAGGGCTGCAGGGGGAGAGCTGCTCCTGCAAACCAGGGAGAGAAAAGTTCTCATTCTGCTTTTGGCGGAAAGGGAGAGTTGCACTCCCTCCTGCTCCAGGTTACTTTATCCCGATGGTGCTCCCTCCACTAACCTTCCCTACTGCAATGTTTGGCCTGACAAGTCCTGGGCAGTTGTATGAAACCTCATCCTACCTTGTCAATTTGCTGTTTCTCCCATGAACCCCGTTATGGTAAATTCCCTGCAAATAGGGAGGCTGAGGCACAAAGAGCTCCAGAGACTTGTCTAGTCAGTAGTAGAACAAAGATCTCAAGGTACCTACCACTGTTCTTACTACTAGGACATGGCTCCTGTCTCATTACTGACTGCTACAAAATTGTAATGATGTTTACAGCTCATGGGACTCAGAACTCTGCCTACAAACTCAGCAGCTTGGGCAAACCTCTGCATACAGTGCATACTTTTCCTGCCATGTGCTCTGCAAGGGAGAATTAAGTTTTCTCTGGAATAACCAGCGCTCCTAAATACACATACTTTATCATTCATTTCTAGGCACAGAGAAGGAGAGAGAGAGAGAGAGAGAGAGAGTTTTATTATTGTTTCACAAACTTGTGTTTTTTTACAGGACAACGTGGATCTTGGTGACTTGATGTTCTCACTCTGCTACCTTCCAACAGCTGGCAGATTAACTATTACCATAATAAAGGCTAGGAATTTAAAGGCAATGGACATAACAGGAGCATCAGGTAGGAATTTCTCTCATGCCCAACATTACAATTTCATCTTCTCCCCCTTGAATTAAAGAAATGGTACAGTGTGTCCAACTCTTCTGATATTTGGTGTTTTTCTTAAAGCCCCGGTTTCTGCAGTTATTTGATTATAGGAGATTCTTTCATTAAAAAATAATTTTAGCCATCCTAAATTTTAGGATTTTAGCTAGTTGCAAAGAAAAGCTTAAAAAAATGTGAACTCTAAAGGCTCAAAAACTACAAGGCAAATTAAAAGAACCCAAAGTTTATCATCGTAAAGACCTCAAGAATTTTGGGGGCCTGGCTTTTGAATACTTGGAGGTGACCATCCTATGATGGTAACCACAGAATTTAATTTTGCACTGCCTGCTATTTGTTGGGGTATATGTTGGGTACAGTACAAACCAGCACCGACAATGGAGAGGCTCAACAGCCATTAATGTGATACAAATGATGCTTGGGCCAAGATTATGAAGCTCACTGGTCCATTGTAGCAACCATTTTCAAGGTTGGTATTGAAAACAAAATGAAACCCGTTTGGGATTTTGCTACAAAGGGGTCAGAGATGCCATGTTTCAATCCACTGGCAAAGGGGCGGGGTGGTGGTGGTAATAGCACTGTCAGAAAGGAGCGACAATGAAACAGGTGCCCCACGTAGGACAGTCTTCTACTACACCCACAGCTTTAACCGTACTTCTAAAGAGAACAATAACTGTACACCACTCAAACTATTAAACTTCTAAAGTGTTAACATAACTAATTCCATATCAGCAAACACTAGCGCTGACCCCATTATCTGATTGTGTCCGGGTTCTACTTGTGCTATAGCTGTAATCAGTTACACAGACTGTCAGGGCTGGCCTTACCATGAGGCGAACTGAGGCAGTCACCTCAGGTGCCAGACTGCCGGGGGGGGCACCACAAAAACCCAGAGTTTCAAAGTTTTGGCCCAAGCAAGGGAGCATGGGAGGTGTCATTTGAGCTCCTCGCCTCAGGTACCAAAATGTTGTGGGCCGGCCCTGCAGACTGTTACTAACATGGGAATCCATATTGTGTCTTAATGGAAATTTTTACATTCTTTGAGAAGACACAATACAAAAACCCAGCTTCCTAAATGAACTTCTAATGGTTCATTACAGTCATTCAACCAGGAAGACCTTTTAACTGCCAGCGCGTGTCATTATTGAAGGAGCTCAGATTCTAATGTAGGTAACGGTGAATAAATTATGTATATAGATATAGGCATAAATTAAGCTTACTCCATTTGCTTTCCATCTGTGTCTATTTTTAAATCAACAAAATTGCTTATCATGATTCACCCAGATCCCTACGTGAAGGTTTCTTTAATGTGCGAAGGACGGCGGCTAAAGAAAAGGAAAACATCCACCAAGAGGAATACCCTCAATCCTGTTTACAATGAAGCCATAGTCTTTGATGTCCCTCCGGAAAACATTGACCAAATTAACTTGTCAATAGCAGTTATGGATTATGACCGGTGAGATACCTGTAGCTGCTACTGAATACAAATCTACTATGCAAGATTTTATGAGGCAACAGATTGTAAAAAGCTGGCACAAGTTGTCATAAAATGTTTTGTGGTGCAGGTCTCAGCAGCAGGCTACAATTCTCTGTACCATCACACAGCATTTACTTCTTAGTTTCTGAGATACAGAATTGCATCCAGAACTTTGTATGCCTAATTTGCATACATATTTACTCAAATTGTAATGATTGCCTATCCCAATGAACAGTCTGCACTCTGAACGGCCATTTGTGCACCATCACATTAATTCCTCAGATTTCTTCTGAAAATGTGGCCCACTATATATTCTATTTGCAAATAATTGCTTTGGAAGAGGTGTCCTGCTTGTTCAGATATCCCATTTCACATAGTAGTCTTTACATGTCAGATGCTTTGGGTGGGCTGGAGTCAGAACACGTATAATGTATAGTTATTTTTCTCTTTTGCAAATGTTAATGAATTTTTCTGTTGGTTAAAATTGGAGTGTAGACAAATAAAAGTCCAACTGTCAATTTACTCCGTAGAAAACCAACACACACAGTGTGAACTAATATGATAGAAAAGAGTAAACTATTAGTATATTATCTAGGTTCATGAAAAAGATAGGGATGAAACTCAAATCTGTGTTGTGTAGCTCATCAAGTTTTCCCAGCATCCTAGATCATTATTTGTCATAGAGAATTTAAATGGCATTTGTTCCCAAATGTAAAATTTTAAGAAAAAAATATTATGGCACATTTTCACAGTGTAGGTCACAATGAGGTCATTGGAGTGTGTCAAATAGGCAACGATGCAGAGAGCCTAGGCCGGGACCACTGGAATGAAATGCTTTCGTACCCTCGGAAACCGATTGCTCATTGGCATCCCCTTGCAGAGGTAAGATTTCCATTTCCTGAGTATTTACTTTAATTGTAAAAGCTCTTTAAATGAGAAACTAGAAGATGGGTAAAATCTTTGAGAACAAAATAGCAGGATCCACATTTGTAGACTAAACCCAGAAAAGACTAAACTGAAACTCCAGTTTTTAAAGTGAGCCTGACATAGCAGCTCCTCTCAGTTTTAGTGGGATGTAAACTACTTCAAACTTTAATATATATATATATAAACTTAAAACTCAGGCATTATATATAGGGTGATTTTTATAACATAAAATGTTGAGTAACTTTCACTGTATATTGGCTAAACCGTATCCATCTGTTTAGAGCTGTTAAGGAATAATTAACTAAATAGGCTGTTTTACATTTATATATCAGATAAAAATATGATTCTATTTCCATTCCATTGGCATGTCCAAAGGGATGTCTAATTGCACCAAAAATAATAAAATGTCCTTGGAGATTAGCAAATGTAAAAATAAGAAACGGCACAATCGAAAAAGCTCTTCAAGTTACGACTGGCTTCCTATGTTTCTTTTGTCTTCATTTAGGGCCCTATTCAGCAGAAATGTTATGCAGGCCTTCTGCACATGGATGGCTGCCGAAGAGGCTTCCTCACCCTTTTAACCTATTCAGCAGAAATTTGGCATTCCTGTTGATCTCTTTCTTAGCCATTTCCTCAGGGGCCATTCCGCAGAGAGTCCAGAGGGTAGAGACATCCTTCTAACCCCTCCCCCTCACTCCCTTCCCTCCCCAGGGAATACTAATCCTGATTCAGGAGACAAAAAAAAAAAAAATCATAGACACAGCTATATCTTGATTTCTGAAAGTTACCACCATTTAGCTCTAATCTAGGCAAAGGTACTGTTATCCACATACAACAATAATAGTGGTCTCTGCTGTAACCTAGGAATTACTTTTATTGTTACATGTATTGTTTAAATTCAGATGGCAATGCATGTTCACACCCATTTCCAGAGACTTATGGATAGAAATATGGTAGCCTGTTTAACAACTAGCATGCTAACCCTCAGCGCAGAAGGATGGGAAGGCCTGCCATATTGATATTTCTAGCCAGCAGCCACAATGCCCATTAGTTATCCAAAGATATGATTAGAGCATATCTAATGGGCAGCCTCTCTATGTATGTCGTATTGATTAGAATGTAATTGGGGATGCTTACAGTGATATGGCAGTTTTGCTAAGTTATAGGTATCAACCATAGATGGCTTCAGTAGACAGTTGGCAAGTACCAGGAAGCCCTTGTACAATGATAGCAGTATCCTACTGGGACTGCATCTCCATGACTGATCATGTTTAGTAATGGGTCCCACTGCAGTTCAGTCCGCATGTCTGGGACCTCTGAGTGCCCACAAACTGCTTGAATGAATGGAGTGGAAGACTGCACCTGGAAATAGTCCAAACAAGGTGGTGAAGTTCAGCACACAAAGCTCTGGGCTCACTGAGAAGCTGAAGACATGACCAGGGGCACTTTATCCTTTTCATGACAATGCAAGAGCCAAAATTGTGCTTTGCTCTGATTGAGCTGGGCTTGGAAAACAGAGCACCTTGCTCTTAACTGTAGTCAAACAATGACACGAGTGGCTTGACAGAACACTCATGGAGCATTATAAACCAGCAGGACAATGTCTGTTAGCAGAGGTTATGCACGCCCTTACATCAAACCTGTGTTTCCTTCTTTGAGGGCAATGAGCTGCAGAAGTCTTGTTCATAGAAAAGAGAGGGCTGTCAGAATCTAATTGACATCACTATTCTCTCAGCACATGCTCAGTTGAGTCCTTCAGCGGTCATTAATGTGAGTCACTTTACATCTACCTGAGCTACAAAGAGGCATATGTCTGTAATTCCCAAGAATCGAGTGAGGGAGGGTGCCCAAAGCATCTAAGTTGTGCAGAGAAATATTTATACAAACAACGTATAATTTTGGGTCCTGAATCAGGATTAGGCTCAGTGATAGCTGAGCTTTGGAAGCTTCTAGAGCCTCTGTGGCCAGAGCCATAAGACTCTATTTGCTGAATAGGACCCTCAGTTTTCAAACGAATGTTTCAACTATGTGAAGAGTGGTTTGTTTAGATAGTCTAACGGTATCCGCGAGTAACAGTAACAGCCAGAGGTTTTGGTGGTACCTACAAATTACTGGTACAGCCACTAGTATTGCCCAAATTCAGATGGCAAGTCAAATTCATGCCCATTTCCAGAGATTCATGGAACTGTTTGGTTTTAACAGCAAGCCTGATAGCAACGGAAATCTGCAAGCAGTGTGATTTGCAGCTGGGTGCAGCAACTAGTTTGATTAATATATTCAATATTTTTCAAACAAACGAAAAAAAGAGTGCTCTGCTGGATATTCTTGCAAATACATTTCTTCAAGATTGATTGTCATTATACCTTTATCTTGTGGTCATGCCTTGAGGTCCCAGTAAGGATTGGTGTCCTCCCTCACTCTGTACAAAAACCCAGGTTAACATGGTTCCTGCCCCAAAGACCTTACACTTTAAGAAATTAAAAAAGGAGCTACTGTCTGTAGGGCAAGAATGAGACAGGTACGGCAACCTTAGTGACACGATGTTCCCTCAGCAAGAAGGAGAATAAGTAGGTTTGTGTTTGTATTTTATGTAGCCTGTAAATCCTCATTGTTCTTTGCAGATCAGTTTTCAACAGCTGCCTCAGTTATATAGGTAACATTGCATAAGACAGATTTGTTCACCTCTGTAAAAAATAGGTGCAGGTCAGAGGTGGCTCTGCCCCATAACACCCTCACAGTTGTCATTTTAAATTAATTGACCAATGGTTAATGCATAGGAGCTTTCTCTATAATTTATACAGGAAATAACTGGAGTACCTTAGATGCCACTGTGTGGTAACTGCTGACAAATGTTGAAAGGTGATCACAGTATTGGGCAGTACCACACTAAGAAATCCACATCCAGGAACAAGAGCCACTGGGATAAAAAGCTGCTTTCACTATTTCTTCAATTGTGCATGTAATTAACTGTCTAAAGCCTTTCCAGCATAGTTTAATTTCAAGGATTTAGTAAAAGCCCTAATGTTAAAACATACACATGCAAACTTGTATACATTTGTCAAAGCAAATACCTGATGCATAGTCAGACTTTCCTTTGTGTCCACATACCATCTTGCATGTTCATTAGGCATTTTGGATTTACAATTGAGCACATGCAAATACAAGTAGGTAGTCTTGAGCACATGCTTACAAGGCTGGCCCAAAATTTGCAAAAAGTGTCAGTCTGTTTCTGTCTTGTTACTTTCAACAAAAGCTGTCTGAGCAGCTCCTTGGTATCAGCAAGACTGTGGCACAGTGACAGTATTCTAGTCTGTCATGCATGAACCTCATTTCAGGCATCTCCTCTTTATTCAAACAAAAAACTCCCATGGGGGTCAATGAATTTGGTCCTGTACGAAAAATATTTTGATTCCCTGGACAAGTCAGTGCCGGCATCCCTGCTTGGAATGCAAAGCAGACAGGTGTGTACTTACCCACTGCAACTACTATCCCCAGTGTAGTGCCAGGATTGGTAGCTGCAGTGGAAAGGGAAACACCTGTACTGCAGAGAGAGAGAGAGAGAGATTGATTTTCAGGGTAGATATGGAAGTTCTCACACAGCTTCTGCATCTCCAGCATGTTAAAGGGGCACCTTTAGAGACATAAAAGTTATATAGTCAGTATTGCCTGCTCTCATTATTTTATCGCCATTTTCACACTATTTGGTGTTTCACTTACAGCCCCAGCTGCTGGGATCTAGAAAGCTGAGATTCGCATGCAGTCTCATTTGGGGGTGGGGGGGGGAGGTGTTTCTAGCTGGCTCAGTTATGGAGAAAGTACTTGGAAACTTGACCTGAGTGCACCCTAAAAGGTTCAGAAACCAGAAGGCAAAGAAAAAGAAACCAACATTTATTTATTTTAATTCTCATGATTTTTTGGTGCCCAACTCAGGATGCCTGAACAGTTGGGGGTGGCAGTACTATATAAAAGATGCTTACAGTAGGTTAGCACCATACTGTGAATATTAACATTCTTTCTTTTTCATAACTGGTGTGACACCATTTATAATTTCTGTTTACCTCTTGGACCCCCTTGGACAACGAAATCCACTAGATCAGTCAATTTCATGTTCTGGTTCTCCCATTAGCACAATGCTATTTTGTTTGGGGTTCCAACCCTGTAGGGCAGCATTATACTGGGTGGAGTACTCCAAAGATCCTGTTTAAATTCTGCCACTGAACTAACAGGAGAGTTGGGGTGACTACCCATGACCCTGACAGTCAACCTCTTTTTGAAACACTGCTCCCAGAGGTAACTTGTCACTAGGGCCCTCTTTTTAAAATTTGGTATATTTGCCTTGGAATGGAACAAATTGCTTCAAATGGAAGGTACAGTAATTTCCAAAATACTTCCTCAAGAGAGAAAACTCCCTCCCCAAACACCTTACTGCCACTTCAGATTACACTGTACATTTGTGCGATGCTACTTTATACAGTCAGCATCGTTTTCAGGAACACTTCCATAACATAAATTTGATCACCAAGAGATTATGGTGCAATCCTGGTCCCACTGAAGTCCATGGGAGTTTTGCACCTATTGCCTCACTTCCTTGGTAGAAGAGAGCATTTTTGTTTAAAGAGGAAATTAAAAGAATAAATATTTCAATCCTTCCAAGACACTCATGTTGTTGCGGACTAGAAGGGAATTTTTGTGGAAGTTCCATGTTAATATATTGACACAACATCGCTGCTGCACATGAATTTTAAAATTAAAAAAAAAACACACACCCTCTCTTTTCACAAACTTATAAAGCAAAAAAACCTTTCTATTATATAGTTTTATAAACTTTTTCCCCTCTTTTCCTAAACAAACAGTAAATGTGGGTCTAAAGTACCTGGCAGTGAATGACTGCATATAGAACTCCACTGCTGGGGCAGCAGTTGCTTCCAGAGCAGAAATCCAGCATGTGGCTGAGGAGACGCACGTGTCTCAAGATGATGGTACCAGTGCATGTGCATTTCAGCATTCTTTCTAGCTGATCCATGGATCAGCTAAGAGCAGTAAACATGAAAAAGGTAATGACAGCCTGTTAGACAAGGGCCTGATCTAACTCCCACTGGAGAAAACAGAGACCCACTGGTTTCAGCAGAAGTTGGATCAATCTCACAGAGAGGCATGAAAGGAGAGAGATCCAAAGAATTACAAGACGACTGAGTGGATGAGAGTCATTCTCCATTCAGGGGTGGGTATCACTGAAAAAGGATACATTTCCTTCAGGGGAATTTAGAAGGAGTTTTAAACCTAGGATTATATAGACCCATATTATCACACAAGATATAAACCAGGAGGTACAAGAGAGATATTTCACACCAACACCACTCAGCAGTTTTAAAACATAAGGGGGCCTATTTGCTATAAAAACAAAATTTCTGAAAATGCTCTTAAAAACTTAAAATATCAACTGATTTAAAAAAAAACCAGGATTTTAAATTTTTTTGTTTGTTTGACCCAATTAGAAATACAGTGCAATTTAGTGTATTGTTAAAACATTGTGTGTTTCAACTGGGGAGGAGGGGGGACAGAAGAATTTAAACTAGGCTGAAACCAACAGAATTGTTCTCAATTAAATGTTCTTACCTTCTGTTTAGAACAATTCACTGTAAAATGACGACACCTTAGAATCAAACTATAAAATTACACCTTAGAATCAAATGGGGAAAAATGGCATTATTATAAGGAAAAAAAATGTAGAGTGAGCAATCCATGGTATAGTAGAATTTATTAGAAGCACTTGTGCAGGTGAAAAGAGAAGTAGAACAGGATATGTAACAGATGTTTAAAGCTTTCTCTTTCTGCTGTAATTAATGAAGGTCCTTGCTTGCATCATAATTCTGTTCTGAAGTGAAACTTTACAGCATGTCAACAAAGCTGTGTAAATGTGAATAATACTGTGTAAATGGAACTGTGACAATTATGGACATTGCTGAATGTCTTCGAGAATTGCATTAAAAGGTGATTTCTAATACAGTGGGTTGGGCAAGGAACTACAGTTGGAAGCACTCCAGGGTCCTGCAATTCTCTGAAAGGACCACCATCTCCATGAAGGCATATGAAATTTATGCTCCAAATTGCAACGATGGACCACATACAGGAAGAATAACATCAGGAACACCCATCTCAGCTGCAAACTAAGCATTAACAGACCTGGCACAGAGAGGAAGAACACAAAGGGGACTGTAAGCATCTGGGATGTTTGTTTGTTTTGTCTGTTTCTTTTAGTTCTTTTTTTCCTTTGGCCAAACTCAGACATCCCTAAAACTGGAATGTTTTAGTCAGTTGCATGCTGGCCAGTTGTCATTTTTTTTTTTTAATACTCATCACAAAGGTATGTAAAGGGACATAGTTTTGATACACAGTAACTTTGATTTTACTACACATGAACATTGTATTCTACTTTACTATTTCTTGTTCAATGAGTAGTCCTGGTATGTCTATGTTTCATGTCTAATTTTGGAAAGTAGAGCCACATCTTTATCAGGGCTCATTCAGTTAGGTGGATCTTATCTTTGTTTAGTAGAGATAATGCATGATTCCTTTGCAGTAAGGGTATGAGGGATAAAGTAAATAAATTTAAAATTTCTTAATTTTATAAAAAGTTTATCATTCTTCTAAAACACAAGTAAAATGTACTTTGATTTATTTATATAGAGCTAGTCTATACAAATACTTTTGTTCTTAATAAGACATTGTGCAATTGTTATTTATTCCTATTTTGTATTTATATATTAAAGTTTAAGTGAATGTTTAAAGAACTCACGGGTAATACTTTAGAGATGTTTTAATTCAGTGTTTATCAACAGGAAGCAATGGAAAACCTCTCTAGTACAGTTCTGAACATTCATTTTTAAAACAAAATGGGCATGGAGCTCACCTTGTAGATGAAGTAAAATATCACACAAATAGGGTGTTCAAAGTGGAACATCAGACGGCTACAGAAAGCTTTCTGCAGAGTGAAGCATAATTTCCTCGCAAGTTAAGAGCCTCCTGACTTTGCTATATCCACCATATTTCAGATTTTCATGTAATTTTCAGAGTGGCAAAGTATGATTTTCTTCTTTAAATTAACCAGACCAGTATTCTTCCTGTCAGAGCTTGACAGGCAGCCCAGGGAAACTGGCAGCTGTGCTGAGGTAGAGAGTAGACACACATGGAAAAGTGTGTATAGA